ATAATTCACATTCTGGAAGGCTTTGTTGTTTTTTTGTAGTGGACATAAAATCATCAAACAGAAAACAGAGCAAATATTTATTGTCCTATTTTTCTCTTCGGATAAACTAGGTCATTGTGTTTGAAGAGCAAGAGGGAGACTACAAGGTCCACTTTGAGGATTCACCTGACCTGGGCATGGCAGCAGAAATCCAGTGACAACCATCAATATGAGAAATAATCTTTTGTGCAATTACTATTTATTATTCTATTTCTATTTATTTTTTTTTTACTGGGATCCTATATAAATAAAGATTAAATGATGCTGATAAAAATCTACAGACCACTTTTAAAAAAGAAGTACTCTGCACAGTGCTTTGAAAATATTTAAGTCTTTAAACCTTTAAATGTGTGTTATGATCCAACAACCCTCTCACCCTCTCATCACCAGAGATAGGGCAAACCCTCCAATACAAGACCATCTACCTAATCCACTGGCCAAAGATCATATTATACACAGTAAAAACATTTATGTTACTTTAACACCTATGGAGTTTAATATAACTCTGTTTTAGATAACATTTGGTCCCACTCAAAATTAGTATAACATTTATTCTATGACTAATATTAAATAGTTAATTTTACTATTTTTTGTGTCAAAACCAAAAAGACCTCTCAGAGACTGGTGGTTATTGACAACAAATGGAGTAAAAGTTACACTGCATGGCTGTCAAATTCTTCACTAACTAACACTTGAGCAGATTTACACTCAGTGTATTTGTAAATAATCTATTCTAAACTGTGAATTTTAAGTTCTTAAGAAAATCAGAATCAGAAAAAAAGCCTTATGCATACAGACCCTCTCCAAGAAATGTAAATATTATGGAAAACATGTTTAACTTCCATAATTCTTTTCAAAAAGTCAGATTTTCAAAGTTTATAGATATTTTAGGCTTACAATTCAAATGATTTAAATGTATTGTTTATTTTATATACAGTGTCATGGTTTTACAAAGTTCAGACCCAAATGCAGAAAACCAAAACAGAGAGACCAGGGAAAAGGTTTAACGGGTTTTATTGAAGAAGTTAAACAGAGCAAGAAGTTAATTGGCTGATCAGACAATTAACACAATAGATGTAATTCAAACTAACCAAACTATCACAAATTACAAAACACAACAGTACAGTTAGGTCTGGCAATAAACTATTCTACATCTTAGAAAAAATGAAAATACACCAACTGCAAAACAAATCCTGAGTGAAAATGCAAAAATAACAAAAAAATTAAGAAAAATTCAAACTCCCCCTTATTAGCAGCAGCTGATGGAACAGTCCAATTTCCCTTCCTGCATTTAGCAGATCTGAGCCCTGGTTGAATATTATGTCTGGCTAAACTCCTAGGCACCATGGAAGGTAGGAAACAGATTAGTGACAAAAATACACAGAAATGTGAATGAGTGCATATCCACTACAAGTACAGTGAACTAAATGTGTGCCCTTACAAATAGAACACATCTATTTGAACTAAGAATAAAGTTTTATTGCAAACTAAAGTACGTGTATGGATTAATAAATAAAGGTGAATGTAGAGTACTTTTAAGGTGTGGCCATGGGTTTGGCCATCAAACTAGGTGTAGAAGGACTCTTTTGTTGCCCTGCCTTACATCCAGTGCAGATACTGGTCAGCTGCAGTGCTAATGGGTGAATGGTGGGGACATGATCTGGTGTAGATGCTTTGTGGGGTTAGGGGGCAGGCTGGCCAACTCTGAGGGGAGATGTGGTTGAGAGTAGATGAAGTGGAGGGCTTTAGGTTTATAGAATGTTATATATTTGAACTTTGAAAAGAAAATGCAGCTTAAAGCTACAGTGTGTAATTTTTAGCGACATCTAACGTCCAGACTGCAGACCGCAGCAACATGAACATCTCCCCCCCACCGCTTCTCCCCCCCAACAGTACGGCGAGCGTTACGGGACAAAATGTCTTCCACGACGTCCGAATCACCTACCTTCTCAAGTGATGAGGTTTGTTTACATAGATAATTTTACAGATAGTATTTCATTAGTCTGTGTAGGGTATAGATTCAGTACCATTTCAGTTCATCTCTCTCAACTTGCCGTAGTTACTTTCGAGCGTAATGGGCGATCTCGCAATCGCTAGTTTGTTGGCTCTGCGATGCCGTAGCGCAAAGATGTCTGCCTCCATGGCTGCGAGACCCGCTCCTATGTAATTATAAATAACGAATTCTAAGGCAACGCAAATATTAAGGTTAAGAGGCTGAGCTCGTAGATGATGATAAATAACATAGTTATGTATAATATATTACATTTCTGACTGTATATCCCTGTAATTATTACACACTATAGCTTTAACTTAAATTAATGACTTTAATTAGTAATTGAATCAAGTTGATCAATTATGACTATTATCTTTATAAGTTGAAAACTCAAATAAATAAAGTTAGGCAAGCTTAGTTCAATTAATTTAATTTGGAGCTGCATTTGTCATGATCTCGGCACCTTAATGCTGGGTTTTACTCTTTGTTGCTCTCATTCTGCTTTGCCCCTGCCTTGCGCTCGTTATCTCTAATCAGATCCCCCTGTTCCTGCTGCTATTTAAGCCTCCAGATCCCAGCCTTTGGTGCCAGATAGTGATAGTGAGATGAGGCCTCATGAGGTATTGAACCATTTGGCCGAATTGCTTCAACGATCCCCACAGTTCATGAGGCTCCATGTGAACATGTCACCACCTACTGGTGAAGTGCATAACTACAGTTTGTAATAAAATATGTGATTGCCCCCCCCCCCCTTAAGTTCTTTTGAATTTGTCAATGGTTGGTGTGTATAATAAGATATTTTGAATTTTTTTTAAGTGTAAAATTTCTTAGGACAATCATTTAAGGTGCACAGTTTTTCTGCCATTTTAGTGAAATAAACTCAAGCAGACAGTGAAAGTGAGTAAGTGCAAATTGGGCAACGATGAGCAATATGAAAGGTGTTAGTCGGTTTTATTCAGACATGATACGTAGTTTTTCCACATTTTTTGGATTTAATCGGGTTGGAAGTTGTGTTCCACCAATTTTTTGGCTAAACCGAAATAATTTGGCAGCGTTTTTACCCAATCTATATTTTTACTGGGGCAAACCAATGCAAATCAGTCTCATTAGCCAAAATAATTAAGTATAATCGCAACTTTCAAAAGTCAAAGGTGGGTATTAAACGATTAAACTAAGGAGTGGGAGTCTCTGTCTTATAGACGACACCACTAATGTTGTTTACTGATCAATTGAAAAAAATAAATGCTAACCTTCCAACTATGTCCGGTGGCTTGCTCAGATTTTGATCATTACATTGTTTATTCTAACCAAAATAGTTTTAAACAACTAGATTGGTTGTTTTTCCAACCAATCTATTCTTAGAATCTATCCAAACTCTATCCAGCTGACCGCAACTCCTAAGAACTCCCACATCTTGACTAAATCGTGAGGCTGTTTAAATGCTTGTTAAAATTGTTGCGCTTCCTGAACCACTTCCCTAAGCGACCACGTGGTATCACGGTAGCGAGGCATCAGACGTCATCAATTTTGGCCCCTCCTCTAAATGAATCACGCCTCGACATTCTCTTCAGGGAAACCCCCCCTCCATTACTCGACACACGCCTCGAAGCCTCGGCTCATATCATAACATCACTAGTGCCAGACTATTCTATCTTCTAGCAAGACTAATTCTAGCAATCCGTGTTCAGTTCTGCCTGTTCCTGACCTGTTTCTGTCCCCAGACTTCTGAGTTTTGGTCACCCCTGTTCTGTTCGGTTTTGCCTGTCCTGTTTCTGGGCTGGTACCTGGATTCTGCCTGTTGTCGACCTTGGACCTGTCTTCTGACCACGGCTTGGATTTACCCTCCTGGATCCATCTGTTCCTCTGCGTCCTCTGGCTGCTGCAAGGCGCTGCTCCTCTTCTTTCCTGGATCTCTGCTACCGGCTCAGTAACAAGCAACACAGTTTGACTCCTCTGAACTTCACTCCTTCTTCTGGGCTCAGACTGAACTTTGCCAGAGAATCCAGTGAGCCCACCGCAGCTGACAAGTGATATTGTGACATTTAACAAACGCCTTTTAATATATCACTATCTGTCGCGCCTGAATTCTGGCTCCAATGTTCTGACCCCTCTGACAGCGTTATCTTTTCGACATGTGACCCACCTAAACACAGATGCTGTGTTAATCACAGAGAGCCGGTCAATTTTTGCCAAACCTGTACTTTAACAACTGGATGAATTCTTTTTCCCGACTCCTACATGCCTCCTTATCCTCCAACCTTAGCTGTCTCAGTTTGGCTGTAAACCAGGGTTCATCACTGCTATAGTTCGCCCTGGTAAGGAGTTAGAGCAGGAGATCAACAGCTGAATCTCAGCTTTAGTTTTCAACAAGCTAAAAAATATCAGAAGCTACTTTGAAAAAAAAAAACCAAAACATCAGCCCACATCAGTTTAAACAGACCTCCCTGGTTTTGAAGCTTGGTGGTGGCCGTATTATGCTGAGGAGGGCTCAGGGAACTGGGTCAGATCAGACTGGACACTTTATATAGGATGTACTGGAAAGAATGGCCAATCCAGCACACCTACCAGTAGGACAAACTCCTACATCATAAATGACCTCAAAAGAATAAACTGTTTGAGGCTGTAAAAGATTTGGGACTAGGGTAGACTTTCACGGTGTAGCAGGAAACTAAAACATGCAAGCAGATGTACAATGTACAATCGGAAAAACGTCCATTAGAAAAAGGAATCATTCCAGATTGAGGAAAAACATGTATTGAAATAAATTCAGGTTCAAGTTTAATGTTTACAAAACAATTTCACAACAATACTCATGTTTCTGTCATGATCCTCCATTTATTGTAGTATGTGCTGCTGTGAGCTGGTCTAAAATCCTAAGTTTCAATTTTGTGATACTTATGGGACAAAATATTAAAAAGTTAACAGGAAATTTTTGCAAGACGTTTGCAAGACGTTCTTCTTTAAAATATTAATTAAAACATTTTTTGTTTTTATTATTTTTTCTGTTTACAGTGGAATCACTCAGAGAGGAGTTATCACAGCCAGGAGTTCCTAGTTAATGAGTTACCACCATGTGTTAGATTGACAGCTTAGTTTAATCATTAGGCTTCTTTTTCATGCATAAATAACAGAGAATAAAATAAATACAAACACATTTGTAAAAACGAAAATGCCTTTTACTGGACACATGTCAATGGCCTTCTCTTGACACCTATATAGTTGTTTCTGTGAACTGAAATGGTACCAAATACATGTCACATAGAGAGCAAACCAAGCTGCTCAATGCCAGGACCTGCCAGTGTTAACATGTTTCAGAGGTGCTACTGCAGTTCTGTCTCATAAGAAATCAACAGTTGAAAAACTTGTTGAGAAAAATTGGAAATTGATAGAGAAGTTTTCAATTCCACTGTTAGGAGTTGTGGCTCTGTATTCCATATATTCCCAAAGGTTTTCTCCAAAATATGAACTGAAAATGCAGTCAAATCATCAGAAAACCTTTCAAGTCTACACACCATTAGCTAAATCTTCTCTTTACAGGAGGTACTGATTATACATGAAGGTAAAGGTTGCTCTTGTTTGACAGTGAATCCTCACATCATGCTGTGTGTCTGCCAGCTGATCAAGTAAATGTATGCAACTCCTCATTAGTGAGGGGTTCAGGGTGGTTAAACAGACTGGTCTTATACAGTACTATTAGAGAATGGCTCAGATCTCAGTGTGCTCTGATCTCAGTCTGCCAGTCATAGCTGCATTTCTTCAAACAAGGAGTTCTTGTATTCCTGTGTGCAGCCCTGTGCCCGACAGCCCGCTGGCCCCAGAACAAAGGGGCCCTATTAAGAGCTGATTGGGTGCCTGGCTGCTGGTGTCTCTGCTGAGAGGGTTCTTTATTGCATGCTGGTCCAGCTCTTTCTCAAGTCTGTTGGGTAACATCCTTTGTCTCAGTTCCCCATGCAGATCGTACTGGGCGGAATCCATTTGGCAGCTCCTTCCACTGTCAGCCCAGTGTCTCCCACAGCAGAACAGACATCAAAGTTTGTGTGCAAAGTTCAGTCCATGCACATATTTTGCTGCCTCCATTTTTGCAGACAATGTTAAGTGCTGCTATTGTGCCGTTATACTTGTGGCCAAAGAAGCTCTGCAGTTGATTTGAATCCAGGCAGATTCCTAAGAAGTTCTCCTTCCTGAAACATCCTGGATACACTTAATGAGACCTGAGGAAAAACATAAAAACAAAACTAAATTATGCTTTGAGAATACTGGGGGATATCTAAGCTATTTTTGACACTTTTCTGACTCAGAATCAGTCAACCCGTCAGCTCAGTGTACATTCACAAAGTAATATTTTAATTTAACCCTTGATATAATTAATAAAACATCATGTACATGTCAACAATGGGTGGTGAGGTTGCTTGAGGACCCAGATGCTGAGACGAGTGAAGCAGAGATGAGTTCTGACAGATTTAATTGAAGAACACAGGCAAAAACAGAGGCACCAATCCAAAAATCCAACTTAAAATGTTAAACAAACCAAAAACCATGGAGACATCGGGGGGAAATGAGCATGAGGAGTCGGGGAGAGACGAGCTGAGAAGAAAACTACAACAACGACAAGGAACCAGCCATGAGTGACTGCAGAGCAAGGGCGTAGGTATCGATTTGAACTTTGGTAGGGACACTATTGGTCTGGTGTCATTGGTGCTATGCAATATGCATGCCCTTTTTTATGCTCGATGTGAGCATCCGTACTGATAAGAGGAATTCATTGTTAAAAGAGAAAAGCAACATTTTGCTCCATTAATAAAAATGTTATAAGCTCTACACTCATTAGATGCTGTTTATCAATGTTTGAAGTATCACCGGCTCTGATGAATGTGGAATTAGGACTGTTTTCCACTTTGAAAACGGTTTCATTTGAGCGACTAAGAGAGAAGGTAAATACAGTATTTTCTTTTGAAGATATAGAATTGTGCAGAGTTAAACCCCACTGTTATATTTGTACCTACTATTCTCTCTCCGTATCAAGCAAAATAATACATTCATTAATAATTAATAATTAACTTCACTATAAAAGTTGAACATCTGGGCTGTAGTTACTCTGTGTAGCCCATTTCATGTATTTCATTAATCATTAATTTCAATAATCGTCAACTAATTTAGTAAGTGATTCATCATTAACTGGAGTATAGAGACTTTAAAACATACAGTAATATAAATGTAAAATGTGCCTTTCCCTAGAGATCAACCCACTTAGATCAGTTATTATATCAAAATTGTAAAAATAAAAACAAAAAAAATGAAAACAGTAATATCAACTTAATATCGGTAAAAAGGAAACCCTCACATTTTCTTTTTTAGTTGGCTGTGGCTAAGAATCAGAAATGTTGATGGCTTACAGCCTTTATTTATCCATTTTTCCAGCAGTCTTCAGAACTCCTGGCTGACTCAGAATATTTAGTTTTATAAAAGAAAAAAAAAGGTTTTTGTTTTTTAGTGTACATGATATAATTTTTTTTTATCGGGACTAGTTTTGTAGCCTAATATTAATTGTAATAACCGCGGTATTCTAGCGTGAATAAATTTTCAATGTTGTGCTCCAAGCAGACGCGGACTAGAAAACAGCCAATCAGAGAGAGAGAAGGCGGAACTTAAGGCATAACAACCAATGAGAGTTGAGTTAAACAGCGCAGCACAGTTCCATGCGCTGCTACATGAAAGGTACAGGAGAGACCAGGCAGAGGAGCTGCGAGAGAAAAAGAAGCCACTGCTGCAACAACTGCTGTAAATTATAAACATGTTGCTCACATCCAATTATTTGTCGGGACAATTGGGTCGGTTCAAAATTTTGGTAGGGACATGTCCCTATGGTCCCTATGCAAACCTACGACCATGCTGCAGAGGTGGAGTAAGGAGAACAGAACAAAGGATGGACTAATGAGCTGAATAAGGAGCAGGTGTGGGTGGAACTGGCAAGAAGGAATCCAAGGGGAAAGAAAACAAGCACAAGGGGGCAACAGAGAGGAACTAAAAAAATGCTTGAATATGATGGAAAATAAAAAAAATATATAAATAAAACAGAACAACTGATAACAGAAAACTGAAAACTCAGAGTCACAACAAATGGGAAGAACCATAACAGTACATCTTCAAACAACATCTTAAAAAGCTTCATACCCTTTCCCTCATCTCTATCAAAATGGAAAATAATTGTCATGAGTTGTATAAAGGTTGGTTGAGAACCCAAATGGAGATAACAGGAGGCTGAAGTGAATCTTGTGGTTTTAATGAAATAACAGAGGCAGACAACCAAAATTTCAAAATACTAAAAACCAAAAATCCAGAAAGCATCAGGGAAAACTCATGGGGGAAGCCAGAGACGAGCCAACAACAAAACAACAACAAGGAACCAGCACTTAGAGACTGCAGAGGCGTACTATATAAGTGGAACAGAATAAACGGTGGGCTAATGAGCTGAATTAGGAGCAGGTGTGGGTGCTAACTAGAAGGAACCCAAGGGGAAAGGAAACAAGCAAAAGGGAGCAACAGAGAGTAAATTAAGACTGCTTAAATATAATGGAAAATAAGAAAATATACCAAAGAACAATAAAACAGAATAACTGAAAACTAAAAACTCAGAGTCACAAAAGGGGAGAACCACAATAATCATACTCAAAGTCAGTTTCAAGTTGGTTGAAAGCATCATGTGAACATTGGCTTTGTTCTATAACTGAAAAAAACAGGGGAATGGACTGATATCCACAAAAATGTACCGAGGTAAAATGACCATTATGACCTAAAGACACAATCATCCAGTGTTATTATTACCTTTCTAAATTTTGTTTACCCAAATGTGTTTGTCCATTTTTTAGCTATAGAGAAAATGTCAGATATTATAGCTGTGGAAAGAAAAATTATCTGAGACCATATCTATACTAGGCTGCATAATATGCAGAACAATGCAGCCATTCTGCCTATAAAGCCTCAAACATGATGTTACAGTCATTACTTACTGACCATGGAATGCCCCCGGATATATACATCATTTTTTTTTTTTTTTTTTTTTACAGCTAGATCATAAAAACAGTTCTTTGTCCCAGATCACATATACATATGGATGCCTAGATGCAGAGGGGGGGAGATGATTTCAAAGACTTGTTTTGTATTTTTTTTCCCAAAGATTAAAGAGGCCGGGTCACATACTATGATGTGTCATACTATGAATGTACAAGACACTTTAACCGATTCTGGCTGCATACAAAAGCTTTCTGAATAAATCATGCCACCATTTTGGCTTATTCTATATCATTTTTTTCCCCCCACACTTTGTCTTTGATTTATATGTTCGAAAATATAAGGGTTTTTGTTTATTTAATTTAATAACAGCACATAATAGGATTCATGATTTCGTGCATGCACACCATGAGTAAACTTAGACAACAGAGAAGCAAAACTAAAAACCTTGAGGATGAGCGCTTGGTGTATGAAATTATTTCAAGATAATAAAGTCGTAAAATTACGAGAATAGGGTCTTAAAATTCCGAGATTAAAGTCGTAACATTACGAGAATAAAGTAAAATTATGAGAATAACGTCGTAATATTAGGAGAAAAAAAGTCACAATGAGAATAGTCATAAAATTACAAAAATAGTCTTAAAATTACGAGAATAAAGTAATAAAATATGCGAATAAAGTCCTAAAATTACGAGCAACAGGTTGTATTTTATCACAACTCTTACAAAAAGCATTTTCTTCCCTTAAAGGGATAGTTCGGTATTTTTGACATGAATCTGCATGGCATCCCGATCACCAGCGGCATGCAATCACACTGACTTACCCCTGGCAGCGTCCTGTGAGCAGAGTTATCGTCCAGTTTTGGTCAAGCCGAAAGTAGTCCTGCAGGTTTTTAGGAACAGCGAAATAAAACTTTTCTCTTCCCAAAACATTATGTGTCCAAAAGAGTGATATTTTTGCATCCCAAAAACATTGTAGTGGAAAAAGTCACACGTCGTTATCAATTGGTCCTATTTTCTCTCTGTTCGTATCAGTGCGCGCCGTCATTCAGACAGCGAGCCCAACAACAGCCATGTCTCCCTCCGCCGCGGAGGGAGACATGGCTATCAATAGGGTTATCAATAGGACCAATTGATAACGACGTGTGACTTTTTCGTCTGCCCTCATACACAGTCTCTGACATGGGTCCCCAGTTTGTGGCCCGCTACTGACAGGAGTTCTGTGCTATGCTGGGTATCTAAGTCAGCCTCTACTCTGGTTTCCACCCCCAAACTGACGGCCAGAAGGACAGTCTCAACCAGGAGGCTGAAGCTAAACTTTGTCTCATCTGCAATTCTGACCCCAACTAAGTGGGCTTCGAATCTGCCTTGGGTGGATCATGCTATAAACTCCACACCCCCCACCGGGCTCTCCCCCTTCTACATTGTGTATGGCTTTCAGCCACCAGTGTTCTCCGTCAAGGAGAGGGAGTCCAGGGTCCCTTCTGGCCGTCTCTCTGCCCTGAGGTGCCAGCGCGGCTGGAGGTGGGCTCCCTTCCTCCCGGACCCAGGGCTGAGCTGACAATTTCCAGGGGGTCCCAGCCCCACATTATCAACCGGGTGATAAGGTCTGGCTCTCCACAAAGGACCTTTCCCTTAAGGTGGAAAGCAGAAAGCTGGTCATTGGACCTTTCCCTATCTCCAAGGTGGTTAATCCTGTGGCGGCCCATCTTCACCTGCTCCCTTCTATGACGATCTACGGTCATAGAAGATCCTCCGTCTCCAGTGTCAAGCCGGTCAAGACCTCGAATCTTGACCACATCACCCCTTGATATATCTTTACACACAGAAGACTTAGGAAGAATGTTTTGGAACTCTGCGCATATCCCCAAAGCACATGATGGTGAATAAATAAATAATAGATCAAGACAGATGACCAGATTTGTTTTTATCTAAACAGGTGAAAAGAGCTCTCGAAGTAAATTGACTGCTTGGTTCATAAAAAGGGGTCACTAGAAGTTGTGTACGATCAGATGAATATGCTACCTGGAAGCAAACCCCCCCCCACACACACACACACACTCCTTCTGCCATTGTAGTGAGGACCATGTGTTGACTCTCATTAATTTTCTGTCATTTTCAACCCTTTCTATGCCTTAAACCTAAAACTAATCCTAAACCTAACCATTACCAATGCATCCCTCTTCCTAACCCTAATCCTAACCCAAATGACGCCATAGCCCTAAACCTAACCATTAGATAAATAGCATTAGAGGACCAGCAAAATGTCCTCACTTTGCAACAACTGGTTCTCAATTTGATGGTGAACTTGGAAAAATTGAAAAAAAAAAAACTGCTAGACGGGTACACACACACACACACACACACACACACACACACACACACACACACACACACACACATGTTGTGTCACACCATCCTTGTTGGGACTGTCACTGATTTCCATTCATTTCCCAGTCTTTTTTAACCCTGTCTCTGGGAGTTACTTTGTTTGTTCAAGCATGATAATTAAGTTTCCAAAGCTGGCATCAGAACCATAATAAATGTAATTAACATTGCATACCAATTTCTGACAACAAAATACAACATGAAAGACCAATTCTTCACAGTTCATAATAAAATAAAATTAAAAAGAACTTTACATGCTAAAGTCTGAGTGTTGGTAAAAACTGGGATTAGAAAGAGATAAAATATGGATGGAAATTTAGGAGGTATTTTGGACACTGAAGGGTGTTGCTTAGGATTCATCATGGTCTAATTACAGTCATAAATAACATTTTCTTTGATCTAACTCTGTAAAGGAAGAATGAAGAATGTTCTGTATGAAGTACACACTTTCACCTTGGGCTATTCCCACAAAATCACTGCACTGTGGAAGTGCATTAATTTGCATTTCCAAATCTGTGCTATTACCTTTGTCAGATCAAGTACATCAGATCTCCACAGTAGAGTCTGTAAATCCTTTCTTGCCCTCGTTTACGAGCACCGGTTTCTCTGTCCGTGTGTGCCATACTAATACCTGCAGGTAAGCAGAAAGGCATGGATGAGAAGAAAGCCAGTCAAAATGATGAAATACTATCGCAGAGCATTCGGCTGTGAATAAAGGCCTGTTTTTTGTATCCTGTTTTCCTGAGATCTCTTGGTGGAAGCATGTAAAATATTCAAAAGTGGCATCAACCTAATAGTTGAGTAAAATCTACCAGTTTTTTCATATTGCAGGAAAGAAAAAAGACTAAAGTAGGGGTAGCCAGGTCCAATTCTCCAGAGCTTCTATTCTGAAATACTTGTTGTGTTACACACCTAAATCAAATTAATGGCTCTTTACAGAACCTGGCTGAACTGAGGACTACTGATGAGGGATGCTTTTAAAACTATTTAAAACTTCTAGATTACGTAACCCAATTTGAAGAACAAGTGCCCAACTTACAGTAGCATATTGACGACCACCTGCCTGTCGCCTTTGACAGACATGCGTGATTCTCAAAAACTGTAACTCCTGGACTGTTTATGATATCTCAAAGATCCAAAAAGTACCAGAAGGCAGAGAATTACACTTGCAACCTTACCTCTAATTACGGTAACGCTTAGGACTTAACCAATCACAGATCAGATTCAGCAGCAGATCAGATATTTGCTCCGTGAGCTTTTCAGGAGCGACAGCGTTCTGGTCCTAGTGTTAGAAATATCTCAGTGTACTGTAGCGCAACATTGTTTTTGGAAAGTAAAAAGTGCAAAGGACATGTCCCCTCTGTGCCCCCATTAAAATTACACCCATAAGTCTAAGATTTTAAAAAGCCTAATTTTCCCATGTCTGTAAAGCAGGGGTCCTAAACGTTTTTCAGGCTAACGACCCCCAAACTGATAGTGAGATGGAGCAGGAACCCCCTAATTTATATATTGTATGAAATTGTGTTATATCAAACAGGACCTATAGTCACTCTATTAACTATGGAGTAATGTTACAAAAGTCATTTTGCCCTGGGATTATTAAAGTATTTATGATTCAGATTCTGATTCCCCGTTAATGGGTCAGGTGTTGTGAATGAAACGGTGCCCAGCTTGAAAGAGCTCCTGTGTGTCGCTGAATGTGTGCATTGAAGACTGAAAGACATCTTCTGCCTCCATTTATCTGTTTACTACAGTGTGTTGCCTTCATGTTAATGTGTATTTAAAGACATTTCAATTAGTGGAAAAAATTGCTGGTGGCACTATAAAAAAAAAAAAAAAACTTAATCAACCAAAACTTTCGTGACCCCCATGAAGTACTTCCATGCACCCCCTAAGGGTCGCGGACCCCCTGTTGAAGACCTCCGCTTTAAAGGATTACTATATATTTAGCTCCCTGCAGCTTCTGTCCTCCTGAAAGAAAAGCCTTCCCATAACATAAGGCCACCAGAACCATGTTTTATTTCGGAATAATAGTAATTAGAAGCTATTTGGTTTTCCTACACATATTTTGCATATCGTCCTCTTCAACCCAGACTTGAAGCTTGCAATCATCTCCTCTCCTAGACGATTTGGACCAGCACAAGCAGAACTTGAGGAGCTATTTTTTTGTAGCTGACTTAAGCAACAAGGCCCAGAGGACATGCTGGTGGGACTGAGATTCCTCAGGCTTCTACCAGAGATCCTGAAGGAGATGTCTCGGGAGAGGGATATCACTCATTTGGTATGACTGCTGCACCCATTCCCTCTTCCTGGATAAAACGGGAAATGTGTAAAGGTACTGCTGACATGCAGTAGTAGCCTTTCAAAATATTCCCATTTTTCTTGTTAGGCCCTTGTCTGGTCTTTTGCTGGTCCCCCTTCCTTTGCTCTTAAACATAATTTTTGTACTAAAATATTCTTACTGTCATGATTTGTGGACATTAAGATCTATAGAGATCTCTATCTATAGAGAAGCATTATCTTCTGGTCAGACCCTGTAATGAAGTGAAAGGGTGGTGTTAGAGTAAATAAATATGCAAGATGGGGTCACTCCAGTAGTTGGAAGTTGGAGGGAAGTGGGCTACCATTTGGCTGGAGTTTGACTGGGAAGGGCCATTTTGAATGGTTGCTACTGTAGCAACATTTGCAATATTGCATAAACAAAAAAATATATTGTTTTATGTGACCTTTACTCGATTGGTAAAAGTTTGCATTAAAACCTAAAATAGAGTTATGCTTGATTTATTTTGTTGTACAACTTTAGGCAAGAATTGTTCTAATGGCGTCTGGGCTAAATAGGCAAATATTTGTCATCAGCACTTTAGCCCCCATTGATGTTAAAACCTTAACCTTAACATCCTTAAATCAGCCTATATGTGTGGCTGTTTTATTGTCTTCACAAATCACGTCAATTCAGACTGAGGAACTGAAGTGCATTGGAAGTGCATCTTGCAATTAGAAAATCCCACCCATACTGGAGATACTATTTAATTGTAATCGGATATAATCAAACAACATTGAACTAACCCAAGTCGTCCCAACCTAAATAAATAGGTATCACTGAACAAGAGCCATTTTTGCTTTTTTTTCCAACAGTAATCCTATACTTTGGCAGAGCACGTCAGCAGTATCAGTCCTCTAAATCAGCCACAACTCGTCAGTCTGTTCTTATCCTACAAAGAAATGAGTAGATGCTTAAATTTTGTGTTAAACCTGAAGATAGTAAGTTGGTTTGGATCTCAGGTCTTGGTGTGGGCCTAGCTGAAAAGCTCCCAGCAGACTAACACATCAGCTAATTAGATATCTTAATACAGACCATGAAAAGCTTTTCAAGCCAAGCTTGCCAATTAAGGAGGATGGCTCCTTCAGATGTTATTCATTAACACAAAAATGATGGAAGATCTGTCCAGTTTTCCCCATAAGGTTTCTGCTAAAACCATTGCTCTTTATGATGCAGTTTTATTTTTGCTACTATTCTCCAAGAAACTTCCAAAAACCTTTTTTCTCACTACAAATCCATTCAATTTGGTTCAGTGAGTGACCTGAAATCCCAATTTAGGCATTTTAGTTTATGCTTGCAATATCACAAACACTGAAAAATCTCAATGAGACATACCTTAGTGCAGTTTGAAGCTTTAGGCTCCAGCTCACTCAGAGTCACCAGTTCCTTTAGTAAGCTGCTCTCCTGATATCCTCCTTTCACCCCTCGCAATTTGAAATAAGCCTGAGGTTTGGTTAGAATCAGGCTTAGGTTCACTGCAAACCCAGCCATGTCTATGGCAAAAGGTCGGTGTGGGTCGAATACAGTTTTCCAGCCATACACCTTGCCTAGAGCGTTTATCTTGGGTGATTCGTAGCGTAAGCCACCCACAAATGCAACGGGCCACACAGACACCTTTTTCGTGGACCTCATCTGTTAGATGAAAGCACAGAGATAAAAATCACTCACAGGAGGTCACAGAAATCATGTCACACTTAGAGAGCAGGCCTTAAATTAAGATATGCAAAAGGATGACCAGAACAGGACACAAGTATCCAACTGTTGTCAGTAGGATTTTTTCTCTTATTTTGTCATAAAACATGCTTGTGATTAAATACATCGTCATGACTTGGCGCTGACTAGTGGCTTAATTCTTAATTTCATTCACCTATCTAATTCTTTGCGGTTTTCTCATCACTGCTCAACATATCCACCTGTGCCAGCTTCTATTTAAGGTGCTTGTTCCCATTGGTCAGCGGCAGATTATTTTCATGCCCTTGGTGAGATTTTTTCTAGAGTTACTAATTGTGTTCTGATTGCCTGATCCTGACCCGCTTCTGTATTCGGACCTTTAAGCCTGCCTTCCCCTGTTCTGATCTGTTTGCCTGAGATGTCTTCGGATTCAGTTGGATTCTATTGTGGACTGAACCAGAATCTGCCTCCTGACTTTGCCCTCTGGAATATCCTGCCTTCCATTGTCTGTTTGGATTTGATCTGTCAGTTCTGTGTCTTTCAAGGTTTCAGCCTCTGAACCTCTCTGTGCGACAACCATTGCAGCTTGTCAGCTGACCAGTTGGTATCTACCTCGTTCTCTGGGCACAGACTGAACACTAAATCAGGTTAGTTAGTCACATATTCAGATCATTGTCGTGATTTCCTCTCTCCAGAGTTACCTGCCTCAGACACCCACAGACACACTGCTACTCTGATCCTGTTACTTTAATAAACGCTTTTGAAGTTATCTCACCGTCTTTCTTGCCATAATACTGGCTCCCTCTGTTCTGAGTCATACATGCATGTACTTGATGCTTAAATTAAAAAAATTATTATTATTTCCTTTTAAGTCGTAGGGAAGCGGCTGTTCCAACCATTGCATTTTTAAATTCTCCCGAGTGGTGCACGAATTTACACAAGTGAATAAATTGAATGTGATTGGTCATTTATCAAGGGGGCGTTGCTGTTGTGGCAAAAGATTCGCAAGCAAGTTTGGTTGTGGCCGGTTTGTCAGAAGCATCTTGCTAACCAGTTAGCAACTTAGTGCTAGTAGGTTTCCAATGTGAAATTATATTGGGCCCAAGTTGCCCTTAGAAACGACACTGTCAAGGAACGCTATTGACAACGAAAACATGCAAGAGGAGGAGAGTTTTGTATCGGAGGTTGTGGAGGAAAGCGGGGATGAAGATGTTGTGGAAGAGGACACCAGGGCGGCAGATGCTTGGTTTGGTGTAGAAGGCTTACAGCCGTACATGTTTGAGCCCTTGCCTCAGCACATTTCCTTGGGTGCTATGACTTGTCCAAGGGTAGCTAAAGCAACTATAGCACATAATTAGACACAGGCTCTATCCGAATGTGAGCCCTAACCCCTGTACCATTTTAATAAGAGCCCAAATGTCTTGTGGAAAAGAAGTGGACTCAAATTTCCCATAAATTGTCAAAACTAATCAAAGACATAATTTTAAATGTGAAGTCAAAACTAAATAAATAAATAAAAAACAAATTAAAAAAAGCAAAGATATCAAAACATTGTTCTCACCTCTTCAAACAGCTGTAGACTGTACGTGTTGTCATCATCTGCAAAATAAACGACTCCAGGCTTGCTAAAGTTTACAGGATAAGTCTCTCTAAGCCACCGCAGGGCCAGGTTCCTCTGCAGCGTACCACGGGGTACTCTGGTGTTCCTGCTTTCCCCTCTGGTTTTATAGTTCAGAGGAGTCTCCACGTTGAGGTGGGTGAAGTTAAGCCCCGTTTCCTGAAGGAAGCGGCTAACTAGAGCAGTCCTCCTCTGGGAATCCTCCACCACGATCCAGTGCAGGTTGGTGACATGAAGCAGAGTGTTGGCCAGACGAGTGAGTTCAGCCTTCTGCACTGGGCGGCTGTAAGTAGGAGTGATGATGTGGAGAGTAGGAAGGGTTTCGGACCAGGGTGGGGGCCGGATGTACACATACTCGGTCTGGACAACGTGAACGCTGTCACGGTTCTGAAGTGAGAGGGATTCCTTTAATGCTCGGGAGTCTGAGCGACTACTGATTGTGTTACCTAGTGTGAAAAGAAAAAGGCAGGCTGAAGCTTTTGTATTCATGGAAACTATAGCACACTGACTGATGGCTTTATGTTGAGTCTTGAGACAGTGGGCCTCATGGAAGAAGAAAATTCGCTCCTAAATGGTTTGATATCGGAAAAAGATGCCGCATTCACAATTTGTCTTCTTTTTTTAAACTTCTCTCTGGCGCAAACAAAATACTTGATGTACAATTCTTGTGTAATCAGTCAGCAGTAATCCAAACCTAGCTTTTCACTAACTCAAGAGACTTTTTTAACTTAGAAGCAATTTTCCATTTTAAAATCCAGTATAAATCAGGCTACAAAATGTATGTATTATGCAACTCTGCAAGTATAAATGACATTTGTATTTACTGATGATAGAACTGTAGGTCACTGCACCTGCAGCTGCTATTTCGGATTCCATTGTTATTAGACTTTTGAAGAATATGTATTTCCGAAGGAAACAATTGATTTTTGCAAATATGAAATAGAATAAATAACTGACATTAAGAGAAATTGAAATTGCAAAGATCAGTATTAGGGAGCCAGAACCAAACTACATTTTCTGGGTATAACATAACACAACAAAAGAAAAATATATCCACAGGCACCAACCCAAACACTGATAATTTACCTTTTTGAGCAGCGAGGACAGAGGTGATGTTGCTTTGGTGCCATACACTGATGAGCAGCGTCCAAGGTAGCACAATCAGCACAATGGCAATAATGTCTCTTCTCTTCGGCATCTCCACTGTCACCTTGGGTCATCTCACTGTCTGAAAGAATACAGAATAGGGTTATGTGTAATTTCTTTTCTTGCCCTAATCCACCCATGCCATTTGTAATTTATAAACAAAGTCAAATCATAGCTGTTTTCTTTCTGAAAAGACATGGTTTGTGCAGATGCTCACAATCTTAGCCCTCTGGGCTAAATGTCTAGCATCTTTTAGGTGTTTCCCTACCCCGCCACACCTATCCACTCCTTGGAGGCTAATGAGGCTACATGAAGCTTAGGTCATTCGCCATTTGCAGGAATATATCATCTATAAGTCTGTTGTGGAGAGTGTGATCTCTTCCTCTATCATCTGCTAGGGTAACAACTTCAGATTAAATGACTTAAAAAGAGAAAAGATAATCAACTAATAAAGAAGGCCAGCACTGTACTAGGAACTCCTCTAGAGATTTCAATCTGAAAAACTCACAGAGAGAGAAAGATGCAATTAGAAGAGTTTATTGATACGATAGTTTGAACTTTGGCGCTCAGGCCTCGGCAGGAAACATAAACGCTGGTTTATACTTTAATGCAAATAAACTGATGTATGAAAATAAGGATATTCCCCCCGGGCCTGAAACTGGTGGTGGAGTTTAGATAGATGAAGTTTGGTTAATCCATAGAGGCTGGTATACAGGGTGATGCTTGAGTTAGATGTCACTGAATGAACAAAGTTTGCATAAACTGTCCATGAAGAGCAAGCATGAAGCGACTGTGGAGAGAAAAAACTCCCCTTTGGGAAGAAATCTCTGGCAGAACCAGGCTCAACGTGGCGGTCTTCTGCCGGACCGTTTAAAGTGACAGGGAACTCCATGAAAGTCTGGAGGGAGTACACACTGGAGGTGAGGTTGAAGGAGCATCGAGGAGGAGTCGGATGAGCTTACTACAATGGTGGAGAAGGGAATGGAAGTGGGTTGTCTGAATCAAAGTCCGACATAGGAGCGATGGATCTTGCGCTTGTTGAAGAGCAGGCCGAGAGATGATTTGGAGTGGCTTTAAGTAGAGTGCTGGAAGATGATTGGGCATCGAGGAAAGTGGCTTGAAGCGGGTTGGCTGCGTCGGAGGCGGATCAGCCTCAGATTGAATGGAAGTAATCAGAGTTTCTTCAGTTGAATTTCCGCCTTAGCTTCATAATTTCACAAAGAAGAATTCTTCATAAAGTGAGGAACATTTTAAACAACAGTGTACATACTCTTCAGAAGATTTTTAAACAACAACAAAGTATCTTGAGTCAGAGGCTTCTCTGGATCAGGTGCAGGAAAATAAAAACAATTAAACATCATTGATCTCACAATGGAGAAATTCACTTCTGCATCTTAACCCACCCCCTTGGGGAGCAGTGGGCTGCCCCTGTGTGGTACCTGGGGAGCAATTGGGAGTAAAGGGTTTTGCTCAGGGAACCAGGGTGCAGGCTATGAGGATCGAACCAGGTACTTGCACCCTTCTCACAGCACAAGGGCACTGCTCTACCCACTAGGCCAAAACTCCCCTGATAGACAGACAGCTACAGAAGATCCTACCTCCCTACAGCTCTCAACACCTACAACTTAAAAAATATCGTATGACTTATTGTAACTTTTAATTTCCCTTTGGGATTGATTTCCCTTTGGGAGTATTTTTGAATTTAGTTTAAAAGAATATACATCAGAAGCAGGGACATATTTATAAGGATTTTTGCTAGGTCTGTAAAAACAAGAACTTAAATAAAAAGGTCCTATATACAAAAAGATGTTTCATACTGGCTTTTTTGAAATTGAGTTTTACTGATTGCCTTTGAAAGTGTTTAATCTTGTGTAAGAGTTTTGGTGTAACTAGACTGAGAAAATGTGGATTATGGAAGTGGATTATATGCTAACATGGTATATTTTATATTTCAAGTGGAACTCGACCCAACACCTTTTTTTAATATAAAATAAACCTGCATTTTTCCCCCTCTTTACATGTGAGAGTTTTCATTCTACAATATGTATCTTGAGCAGTGGCTATTGCACTTGAATTTCCCTACTTGCAATAACAGGCACATCCAAAGTTGGTCATCGAGGGTTGCTGGCACCTGCTGTGTTTTGAAGTTTTCCTACTTCAGCACTGCTGATTTCCATGGTTAGATGATTAATAGGCTTATGCTGAACTGCAATCATCAGAATCAGCCGTACTGAAGCTGAGAAGCATTATAAACCTGTAAGACAGCGGCCCTTGAGGACCCATTTCTCCCATTTAGAAATTATGTTAGAGACTTAATCTAAAAAAACAAAAAACAAATCCAGAAATCACAATTTACGATTTTTCAAGTTCTTATTTGTATGATACAGCTGTGTATCGGCTAGAATTCTGACCCTCAAAGGTGAAAGCTGGTGAAAAACTACAGGAAATGTTTGACCTCTGGAATTGCAAACAAAGGCTACTGTACCAAATATTAACATCAATTTTCTCAGGTGTTCAAATACTTATTTGAAGCTGTATCCTACAAATCAATGGTTTTTTTAGATTATGTTTCTCACAGTGGACATGCAGCTACGATGACAATTTCAGACCTCCATGATTTCTAAGTTGTTCAAATACCTATTTTCCTCGCTGTACATGCTGGAACACACCTATGTCACTGCGCACCAACATATAGAATCTATGAAAAAATCTGTGAAAAGTATTTTTGAAAAACGAAATCTGAAAGAACAGCAAAGTTACCATAAAACCTTTTTGTTTTAATTAGGCCCTTTTTCAAACTCTTATTTCTGAATCACATTTTTATGTTTAAATTTTCTTTCACAAAATGTGTACTTTGTTTGCAACAGTAACAGATTTCCCTCCATGGTGGTGAGACAGCTATGAGAGTATAAAATGACCGGCAATGGTTCAGGATCAAAAAGAAACTTTAAGGAAAATTTGGTCTGTCAAAGGCTATGCAGGGGTTGCAGTTGTTAATATGGAAAAGGGGTCAAACAATATCAATCATAAGGACTCTGTTGGAACGCTGATGGGGCAAAAAAAAACGATCCAGCCCTGGAAAGGGGACTGAGAAGTATATTCATAGTGGTAAAACATGCAAGTCACAGTTGAGATGATAGAGATCTGCTACATTACAGAGATAGTTACATATGTTATTTATCACAGTAAAATGTTTAAATAAAAGTTAAAACTCTATTTTGGGTTCTTGCTTTAAACACATGCATCACATTTATAACCACTGCATAACTTCCCCTGAGTGAAGCCCATTTTCCTACAAGCAAGTCAAAAATACCCAGAAGTGACTACATGGCTTGGTGAGTTAAAGGCGTATCAGATGCATCATAAAACACATTCAGAATGATTACCTATTTACTAGTTACACAATATGACATTTCCTTATGTATCACCTCATGCTATACCTGACTTCTTATATTAATTCCTCCCTTCATAGTACCGCATGGCTTAGCTGAGTCTCTAAGGATCCAACAGTATATCAAAGTCTGACAAGTACTCCTGTAACTGCAAGGAATAAACTAGAAGGAGGCATTTTGTTAAGAAGCTAACGAGAAATCTGGGTCAGACAGTGCTTCAAGCTTTCTGTTTTATCTCAAGTGAAAGAGGGCTGATTCTAACAGAGAGAAAAGAAAAAAAAAAAACATTTGTTGTGTTTAACAGTAGTCATGGATTTCAGTCAGATTTTCTAAACTATGGCTAAACAGAAATCCTGAGACTAACTCAGAGCAACAGCTTGGTTCATTTTACACTAATAGAACATGATAAAGGTTCATGTTTTAGTTTGGATAAAGCAGCTGGAGCTCAAACTAGTGTGGTACAGAATTTTAAGTACTTCATCCCTTACCATCTGAATTGAAGTTTATGCTTCCCAAAAGCTCCACTCTTGTCTCATGCTGCTTCCCCATACACCAGTAGTCATTCAAAATATCCCCACTTTCCTTGGCTGGTCCCGCTTCAGTTCCTTTTTAATTATCAACATTTGAATTAAAATATTCTTTCTGTCATGATTTGGACATTAAGATCTAAAGATAAGCTTTATCTCCTGGTCAGACCTTGTAATTCAGTAAAGGGGTGAAGTCAGATTAAAAACATATGCAAGAGGGGGTCACTCCAGCTGCTGGTAGTTGGAGGGAAGTGCGCGGCCATTCAGCTGGCGTTTGACTGGGAAGGGTCGTTTTGAATGGCTGGTAAGGTACAGTAAGATACCATGGTCCTGTGTTCATTGTGAAGCTATTATGCACAGTAAAATATATCTACTTTATGTGGCAAAGTGCTTTGTGACCTCTAGAGGGCGCGACTGCTGTTGTTGGTGAGACGTATCATGTTGACTTCCTGTTTTGACTGCTGAGCTGCGTGCTGTTCAGGCTATCTCCTTCTGAATTAACTTCTTTTTTTCTGTGATATATCTGTATCCTTTGATGGGAGTAACTGTGTTACTAACGCCATTACCTTTTTTAGTAACGAGTAATCTAACTAATTACTTTGACTGTAACTATAACGCAGGTACCATTGCCGACACCCGGTTACTGCATGCTACTCAGGTCGCACAATTAACCTTTTTTCATGATAGGACTCGTGTGCGCCTTGTCATGAGAGAGGGGAGGATGAGATTGGCTGATGTATGTAGTGAGATTACGTCTGTAAGTTGGGTAGATGGGTGTTTCTGCTGGCGGGTGTTAACGTACAGCACACACAGAGAAATGGAGACTGAGGAGGACTCAAACAGCCAAACAGCGTTTTCCACATGGAAATACAGGTGTTACATCGAGCTGTGTTTCCCCATCACATGCGGTATCCCCTGCATCTCCGCACATCTAGGCTGCATGATTCACTGCGCAAGCGACCGGAAACGCGCAACCTCGCCAAAGGCGCGTAACAGTCGCCCTATGCTTGCTCCATAGGGGAACAACGGAGAGCGTGAAGGATCAAATGTTAGCCTATATGGAGAAAGAGTGGATGGATGGATGGATGGATGGATGGATGGATGGATGGATGGATGGATGGATGGATGGATGGATGGATGGATGGATGGATGGATGGATGGATGGATGGATGGATGGATGTTGCAGTATCTATAACAACCCAAACACACAGGATTTCCGAATTAGACATACCCAGTTATTAATTTCATACACTCACCAGATCTTAAAGCCCTGCTAAAAAACTTCACACCCATGAGTAGAGGTTATGCAGCCTGATGATATTTACAATGCATCAGATTCCATTCTCCCCATGTTAAGCAGGGGGAACGCTATCTGACGGGGTTTATAGGTAAAACTATAATGCAAAACTCTCTGCAGGTTCTTGTCTTTGTCGTCCGCTCTATTCAGATGGCTTTTGAAAAACACGGCGAGAAGGTGGGGGCCAGCTGGTGAGGGTTACGGGGGCGAGAAACGCAATAGTTACTTTTACTAGTAACTAGTTACTTTTATTGTGGAGTAACTCAGTTAGTAGTTCAGTTACTTTTTGAGAGAAGTAACTACTAACTATAACTAATAACTTTTTCAAAGTAACATGCCCAACACTGTCTGTATCTAAGTAACTCTAACTGTCCATAACACCTGCTGCACGTCTCTAATGAGCACTTGTCACTTTCACATGGTTTTATATCTGGTAGTAAGGAGTAGCTAGCCTAGGCTAGCTCTAGCTTAGTATAGCTATGGCTGCTCCCTTTCCCTCCCTTCACTCTTTTCCAACTTCCTCTCCTCTCTCCTGCTCTCTGTGTCAGAAGTTCAGCTATTCCTCTGCCTCCTTTAGCGATAATGTTAAGAGTAATAAGTGTAGTATTGTTTTTAGCTTTGGAGGTGAGGAAGTCATTTAGAATCCAGGCTTCAGGCTGTTGAACATCCAGGACCCCCACGTAGCTGTAATCCAAAAGCAGCCAGGTGATTGGGTAACAGTAGCAGAATGCGTAGCCATGGTTCTCTGCCCACTGGCTACCACCAACCTGTCCACGTTTCTAACAGGTTTTCCCCACTCAGCGACGCACCCACTGAGAAACCCACTCTGGTGATTGGCAGCTCCATAGTCAGAAACCTGGCATTAGAGACACCAGGGACCATAGTCAAATGTTTGCCGGGGGCCAGAACAGGCAACATCAAACCCTACCTGAAACTGCTGGCTAAGTATAAGGTTAAATACAGTAAGAATGTTATCCATGCTGGCAGCAATGACACTTGGTTACGCTGCATGCAGTCATTTAACCGTTGGTTGTCTAGGTGGTGTCCTGAAAACAACGTGTGCTACATTAATAATTAGCAATCCTTTTGGGGAAAGCCTGGTCTGATTCGGATAGACGGCATCCGTCCCCCTTTGGATGGTGCAGCTCTTCATTCTAGGAATCTGGCCAAATTTATTAGTCCTCCAAAAAGCTGACAACCCAGGTTGCAGACCAGGAAGCAGAGTCGTAGTTTAACACACCTCTCTGCAGCTTCTCTACTGTTACCCACTCAAGACAGTGTCTTGCCCATGACCAAAATCTAATAAATTAGAAAAGATTCCCAAAGGAGTAAATCATGATCATCTAATAAAAATAAAAATAACTCTAATTGGGAAAATGTTAAAATGATTAAATCTGGTTTATTTAAAGTAGGATCTCTTTCTTCAAAAAGTCTGCTACTTAATTACTTGATTTGTGATAATCACATTGATTTATGTTGCCTTACAGAAACTGGGCTGCAGCAAGAGGATTATGTGAGCATAACAGAGGCAACTCCTTCTAGTTATTTACATTTTCACTTACCCAGAAGTTCTGGGCAAGGAGGAGGAGTGGCAACAGTCTTTCAGTCTGACTTACTAATTACTCCAAAGGCAGTTAATAATAACTCTTTTGAACATTTAACCCTTGAGGGCTGGTTATACTCCCGCAGAAGTGTGTTGACGTGAGCTTGTCTCAGGTATGAGACAGACATTTTTTATTTATGCTCAATAGCAATTTATGCCCATAGCGAAGAACATGCTGAAGTGTGGTTTGCGGTATGTTATTCCACGCCAAAATGCAAGAGGGACAATCACAAACTAGCTGTGGGTCTAGATACGAGGCGGAGAGGAAGTGAGGGCAAATTTGTCTGACAACGGAGGGAGATGGGGGTGAAAAAGAGCGGGGATCAAGGTGAAAAAAGAGTCCCGGCATTCTCGTTCACCTAGAGCAGATGTAGATTTGACCAATCAGATTCCTCCTGTCTGCGGTCACATAGAATTTTGAAGAAGTGCAGCAGAGTGTCTGTGGAGGGTGCGGGGACGTCTCTGCGTTCCCACCTACGCAGATGACCTAGTTTTGAAGTATTAATCAGCCTTTATTAAAAAAAATAAGGATAAAGGAGCAAATATGTGTATGTATTTAGGAAGATTTTTGTCAACTTTTTTTCCTTCTCTGAAACATATGATCAGATATATATGCCTACTTTCTTATAAATCTTACATCAGTGTAACTTCTTACACTTGCAAGGGAAATTGTTTCCCTTTTTGGCTCTTGTTGCTTGTTAACTGGTATTTATCTCCCCACTCCACCCCAATATTTAAGTCTTCTGCAGCCTCTTTCATGATTTCTTCACTAAGCAGAGCTTTGTGATGTTTAACATTTGCATATTGTTCTCTAACCCAAACTAACCTAACCTAACCCTTTGCAAAGCCCTCCTCAGCTTCCTCACTGATCCGTCTGTTGCTTGACTCTCTAACAAACCAATAGGCAAACATTTAAGGTGGATAAAATCACTAACAGATATACTCACAGATATAGACTCCGGTTTGTTCCACTTGAAAATATTCAGGAATATCAGAAAAAAAGGGGACAAAGTGAGCATGCGTCCCAATTTTTTTTTTTACTTTTTTGATTGATAAAAGACTTTTATAACTATGTTAGTTATGATTTTACTTCAGAGTATAAGCCTAATTTGTTTTGACCTGCCTGTCACATAAAATAACACTGAGGATGGTTTAAATGTTTGAATGTTGATCTTGTTTGAAAAAGGAGAAAAGATAATATGAACATTACTCAGCCAAGCTCCGGTCGATGGCTCTGATAAGAAGCTAATACATCCAGGTTGCTATTGCTTTATTTCTATTATATTCATCTAATGTTTAATACAACCATCCATCCATCCATTTTCCGTCATGCTTATCCCAAGCGGGGTAGCGAGGGGTGCTGGTCCCTATCTCCAGCTGTCAAGTCGCCAGTCCTGATATCAACCTAAAATGTGTGTAGGATGTATGAGGTGAACAGTCTTAACAGAAGCCAAACATAACCATGGTGAACCAGAACCAGCTTGTATTAATTTCTCAGTCTCAAGGTTTATGCTTCAATGAAAATCCCCACAAACCATTGACAAGCTTCATTTTTTAAAGAATATAAATGTATTTTCTAGTTTTGCAGTCTATAGCCTATAAGGCACATCTTCTTAGCCAGGAGGTTAATGGCCTAAAAAGCCATCAATCAACTTTAGGAAAATATAGAACAGGTAATAAAGCCGATGCTTTTAGCAAAATAAACACTAAATCACAAAGGCCATGGCTGGAAACTGCTGCTCATCAGTTATAGAACTTGTTTGGATCAAACAACAAAGTTAAAAAGGAGGAGAAAAGAAGATGAGGTTCCAAAGTCTTCATTTTAAAAATGGTGGGTGCAGTTTTAAAAATTATGATTAGGTCTCCCCCAGCATCAATCATGAATCTGCACTCATTAAGCACATCCATAGCTAGCCCATGGCTGTAAGGCTGCTTGGTTAATTTCCTATCTAATTAGATTGAGCAGAGGGAGAGGCTCCTTAAGACTGTATGAGGAGAGCACACATGTGTCGAGTCTGCATCTGTTTACGTGAGAGTGTGTAGGCATGATGGACAGATGAGTAAGATGAGCCAGACTAAAGTTAACACCAAAAGCTAGACATCTGACAGAAAATCTGCAGATAAAAATCTACAACAGTAAAAGGCTAACGGCTCATCAAGATAAGAGTGTAGAATCCTCTTCCTTACTAAACCTAGCAGCTGTCATATACCGCTATAGTTGTTGAAACAAATCAGGTTTTAGTACTATATATGTCTTTAGTACTGCACTTCATACTAGAAGTGGGCTCTGTTTATACTCAGTTACAAGATTTATTTTTCTATCAAATCACAGTGCAAACATTGGCTGAATGATCCTCTCAGGACATAGCCTGGCCTGCAAGGAACGGCTAAAACCAGAGTCAGTGGAATTTGTCTACAAGCAATATATTTCTATTTTTTTCAACAGAGAAGCTGCCAGTTGTTTAACCCTTTAAAGCCCGATCCAAGAATAAAATAAAACAGAAAATTATTTTTTTTTGGTTTGAAGTCCTTATTTGGCCTTTTAACAAAATATGTAAAAAGAAAAAACAGAAATACATTTTTGATATTAATAATTTATTACTATGCGATAAGTCAAGATTATTTTTTTTGTAGTCTTCTGCCCTCTGCTATCAGGTATATCTGATTGTGTACAATAGGATTTTGAGCAAAGTTTTTACCATTAAATTATGCAAAAGGTGTCAGACGCAAAACATTCCAGAAACCGTATGTATCAAATATGATACATTTGGCATTACAGGGTTAAGTATATATAGACACCTCTTCCGGGAGACATATTGAAGTGCATCATTAAACACTTATACAAAAGTAAATCAAAGATTTAATTGGATGCCAAATCATGGGGACACTTTGTATGATATGATACATTTTTAACGGCATGACTGTACGTTTAACACGCCCTAAAACACAGCTATATAGCATCTGTTATTGTAAACATTTGGGCCTTTTTTGAAAAAAAAACAAAAAACTTTGCACTCTAATGGGATTTTCTGAGAAATACCTATCAACGATATTGAAAACCATAAATTACAAAAACAAGTCCTCAAATACGGATACTTACATAGCTGAATGAGTATCCAACAAGTCTAATCCTGTAGGGCTGTGATGACATTTTCCACGGCCGTGTTGTTCCATAGAGCCAGTCTGGATAAATATTCTCTCAACTCCTCTTTGAGGAAGAAAAGTGGAAAAGTGTGAGCAGTAACCTAGGGGTGACAACTTGTGGACGTCTCTCCCAGCATCCAGTGGGGACTGTCCAACCGTCGGGTCCCAGGGTCGTGTCCTCGGTTCCAGCTCCTGTGGAAAGAGAGGAGGTCATCCTAATGAAAGAATGCTGCTTCTCATTGCAACAACAAAGGCAGCTATTGTCAAACCTGGCAAGAGCTTGGGTGGAAGGGGCAGTCATGACCAGAGATAGAATAAATAACACAAATATGTTACTGCAATACAAAACAAGTTTTTTGCTTTAAAGAAAAAGAGGGAGAAGAATCCTAAAATGTGTCTTTACATCATGATAGTCCAGTGACAAAAGGTCAGAAATTATGGACAATTATAATATACATATTTTAAAACAGTGGATTACTTACAAGTGTTTTGGTTTGTAATTGTTGTATAAAAATTAGATAAAAGAATATATATTATCTAAGAAAGAGAATGAAGTAAAAATGTTGCACAAAAGAATGACAGCATTAGAAAATTATAATTTCCTTTAAATTATATTAAAAGTTACAGCTTTCCCTCATTTTTGAGACACATGAGGTTTAGCCATCGATAAACATCACTGGGATTATACTGGAGAGGCAACTTACCACTGGATCTCAGTGTGGATTGTTTTTTTACAAGTGGTGAAACTTGAAAATAGAACATTGCAAATAGAAACTACGGGGTAGCACTCTATTCAGTGGACATTAATAGGCATTGCAGATAAAATGTTTCCAAATATTAATCCCTAACTCCTTTGTGAGTACATTTTATATATTGATTTAACATCAACTAATGTTGATTTTAGACAAGTGAGTAGCTTCTTATGGTTAAAGCATTATCATTACTTAGAACTGAGAGCACATCTCTAACGGAAAAGTTAAAAAGGAGCTAGTAGCTGTTGTTTGATCTGATCCCATCAGAATTTCTAAATTATTGGCATTAGAATAAATGCAAATGCACAATATTTTCAGGACCTTTATTCCATGCATGTTTCAGGCTTTTAACAGTAAACAAAATGATTCATTCTAATGTAGCCAAGGCAGAAGTTCAACTGAATAAACTGATTCATCCGCCTACGACACAGCCAATCAGCTTTCAATCACGCCTCCACGAAAGCCAATCGGCATCCAAAGTTCATATTATAAGGTTTTCCGATCCGTAACTCATCTGCTACCTAGTGCGCAGGCGGTGGTTGCGCTGTCTGACTTCATTCAGTTGACCCCATTTCAACTCCCCTCCATCCCCTCCTCCACGATCGTAGCTAAGCTTCATCAGAGTGTCATTCCTCCCGGACTTTTACTGCATTCCGCGTCTCATTTCAACCGGTCCGGCAGAAGACTGCAGTGATGAACCTGGTTCTGCCAAAAGTTTCTTCCCGATGGGGAGTTTTTCCTCTCCACTGTTGCTTCATGCTTGCTCATCCTGGACAGATTATCTCAACCTGTGTTTATCCTAGCTGGACTTCCATCTTCCAGGTCCCTGTGAAACACTAGTATGAGCTCACGCAGTCCACTGGATCTCCCCATACAGCTCATCATACTCTCTCACCGAACAGCAGTCATGGACTTACCAACTTCATCTATCTCCACTCCACCACCAGATTCAGGCCTGGGGGGAAAACATCCCTGTTTTTTCTCCTGTTCATACATATCAATCAAAATTCAGCACTATGTATACTGCGGAGGTCTGAGCGCCACAGACTATGAGCTCTCAGAAGAATCTGATCTACTAAAGTTGATAGTTTGTGCAAAGCTTATCTACAAACCAGGTACACATATTTCCCTCTTCAAAAAATGTTTTTGCTATAATGGACAACACATATCTTGATCATCATAATGTGTCAGATACTGGCAAATGTGATGTATTAACACTAGGGATGCAAATTATCGATTAATTCATTAATCATTAGTTGATTATCTTATCGATCGACTTTCGATTAATTGATAAGCGGCGTTTTTCACCTGAATTTCAGGGCTTCAATAGGGCCTTAATATAATTGAGGTATTATATTACATTAGCCAACATTATGATACCATAATTATATTGTATGTTATTATACATTCCTCAAGTAATTATGCATTAGGAGAAGAAAGCAGACACGTTTTTAAGGTAAAACAAAATCTTTAATTTAAAAAAAACCTGGCTCAGTTCTTGCATTTGAAACAGACATAAAAAGAGAATAGAAGAAATTAAATAGAGAGCCAAACAGAATATTATTGAGCCTATAGGTTAGAAAGAAACTGCATAGGCTATTAATTGGGTAATCCTCAACAATCCTAAAATGAAACATCCACAACATATTTCTACCTCAGTTTGTATAGGGTTACAGCAAAACAGAATGAAACGTTCACAGGGTCACTGAACACAACAACATAGCATAACATTACAGGGCCTCAAACCAGAACAATCAAATAAAGTGGTGATTCAATATTACCCTCTCCTAACTGAAATGTGGAACATCACAACTTGACCTAGGCCTAGGTTCTATATATTTTTGTTCAAGAAAATTAGCATGTTAACGTGCTCTGGGGTAAGGCGTGTACGTAGCCTGTTTACAGTGAGCCCAGCTACTGAAAACACACGCTCAGAGGGGACTGATGTGCCTGGCGTACACAAATACCGTTTTGCTAGTGTTGCCAGTGTCGGAAACCTCCTTTCATTCACTTTCCACCAGCACATGGGGCTCGACTCAAGTGGTGCAGGAGGGTCCTTTAAGTACATATCCACTTCACTCTCCACGTCATCTTTGCGGGCATCGGAATAGGTTTCACCCAGAAGTAAACTCATAGCAGATGTAGGCTTAGCCCCATGTCGCTGAGGCCCTGTATGGACAGTGTTACCGTCGTCTCCAGCGGTGGCGGCACCTGCAGTGATGCTGTCGCGTTCGGCTGTAGCCATTTGAAGCAGCATGGAATGAGCTGACTTCCTGGTAGCTGGAGGAAGAAATCCCAGGTGTTTGTGACGAGGGTCAAGCATTGTTGCGATCATAGGGGTGGATGTGTTGAGGTCATCAGACTGAATCTGTTGAAAATAGAAAGAATAGGCATAGGCCTACAATTACACATATGAAAACGATACAATTACGACCTATTTGCATCATTATTTATTTTATTCATCATTATTATTAGTCTATTGGATAGACCCTATAGGTAGTTTTAATAATTAATGGATGTATACCTTCATGCGCTCGCCCAGCGAATCTCGCACTTTTTCCTTGAAGTCTGCGACTTTGGGGCTGTCCTCGTCTGAAGCGCTGAGGTGAGTGTTGATTAGACTGAACGTGATGGGGTACGTGTTTGAGATTGACACCTCCGACTCCGCAGACATCACCGTAGTTGCACACTTCAATGTTCCCAACACGGGTGCCATATCTTCCATTAGCTGCCAGTAGTCGTCTCTCAACTCCAGCGTCCTCGCATCTGCCAGTTTTGTCACGGATCGGTCTGATAGCACGGCTGACACAGCCCATCGCTGTTCAACCAGGCGCTCAAACATGTCGCAGACTGAATTCCACCTGGTTTTACAGGATTGAATGAGGCGATGCGGAGGAAGCGACATTTGGTGTTGCTTTTCTTCCAGGGCTTTGGTTGCGATTGTGCTGTGGTGGAAATGTTTGACCAACCTTCCCGCTGCCGCAATTGCTCTGTCTACCCCAGCAGAAGCAAAACCATCATTTACAGCGAGATTCAGGGTGTGCGCGAAACACGCTACTGATTTCCAGCTGACTCGTGTAGGATTGTTCGCTTGGACAATATTCCTAGCATTGTCGTGGACACATGCTATAACGCGGCCGGAAAGTCCCCAAGTCTCCACTATATAATTCAGCTTCTCAGCCAAGTTGTCGGCGGTGTGTCTGTCAGAAATGCTCGTCGTAATCAGGATTGCAGATTTTAACAGCCAGTTTTCGTCGGTGTAGTGGCAGGTAACTGTTATTGTAACTTTCTGTTGTGAGAGCCGTCCAACAGTCTGTTGTTAATGCTACAGCTGTAACAGCAGCGAGCTTTGTTTTTAGCTCACCTTTCTTTTTTTCGAACCGAGCTTCGAGGCGAGAAGTTATTGATGTCCTCGAAGGGATGTTGTAACCTGGCTCTATGAACCCAATGAGATCCTGAAATCCTGCACCGTCAACTGTGTTGATTGGCATCAAATCCCTCTCGATCATGCAGCAAATCTTCTCTGTAATGCCCTCCGCCCTTCTCTCATCACACGCTCGCCTTCCAATGGTAGCTGTGATTTTAGGTTGACCAGGTGAACTGGTGGTGCCATGCAAGACAGCAGCATGCACGGTGTTCAAATGATAACTGAGTGAGCTAGTGGAACTGTTGTATTTCAACACCGCATTACAAAGAGAACATTTGACTTCTTTGCCTGAATTAACAATATTGAAGTGGTCCCACACCGCACTTCTTTTCGCCCGCTTCATTTGGTTTTCAACCCTGGTCTCTCTCGCGACACGAGGCGTGTTCTCGTTCTCACGCTGTGTTCAAGTTACAGTAAAGCGCTAGCACCCTCTAGCGGTTAATCGTGATTAATACATTTTGATCGAGCAACCTCTTGATCGACAATTAATCTAAAGTCGATTAACCGTTTGCATCCCTAATTAACACCTGCAATGCAATCTATGAAAACTGAAACTGATTTCTGCATCTAATTTTAGCAGGTCAGGTGCAAAATAACACATACAATTGCTCTGGGTCATTCTTACAAGATGGAGGCATAGGTACAATTACAGACGATAGAGAATACTCTGTGTAATTCAACCGCTTTGGATTGTCAGAACTTAAAATAGTGGAGGCATTTTATCTATCACTCAACTCCATTATCAGGAGAAATTCCTTGCAACTCTGCATTTTCTTGCATCTGCGTCTATTATCCCAATACACCATCAGTGTTTCCCTGTGTAATTTTTTTTGTAGGTGATTTCGGAGAGATACAGTTTTATTTAAGAGTTTGAGAGATGCCGGTTGCGTTACCTTGTACCTCTCTGTTGCACATAATAAAATAATTCATGCAACTCTTGCATCTAGTTACAGTAAGCATATTCAGTTACCGTAAAACTGCTTCATGTTTGACTAGGACATAAAAATGTTGTGTAGCAAGATACAAAAGATGCATGAAATCATCAAACCAAATGGAGAAGTAGCTTGTAAAAAGCCTGTCTTTAAAGGTTGAAAACAATATTTTATGTAAAGAACTGCAGCAATCTGTCATGAATCGCGGACAGATGGACCCAGTATTCAGGAGAGACAGTCAGTAGGAAAGTTCAAAAGATTTATTAAAATAAAAACAAAGCGGAGCTGTGGCTCGCGGACACTGCAGGCGGGGGGGCGGGGCACCGCCCGATCTCAGACACTCTGGTTTAACAGTCCAGACCACGAATGTCCCAGTGCTGCAGTCCCAGAGGTGATGCTGGAAGCTGATCCTGGTGAGGGATCCAGAACAGACAGGAACAGGCAGGACCCAGACTTCCAGGCATGCACAGGCTCCCAGGAGGGTTCAGAGTCTTACTGGGACCAGAAGCATGACCAGGTGGTCACGCACAGGAGCAGACAGGATCAGGTGCAGAACAGGCAGGCACAGTGGAAGAGGGTAGCCGAGACAGGACGTAGGAACCGGAACTTGAAGCAGACTTTAAACTGGTCTCCACCCTGGAGCCAGGCTTACTTTGAATAAAAACTGAACCTCCCCCCATAATGAGCCAAAAACCCAGAGGACTCCGCAGGGGAGGAACAGTGGACGATCAGGAGACGAGACAAACACTAAAACCCTCTTTCCACTGGCAGCTAGGGATCCAGGACATGAACCAAATAAAAACTGAACAGAAAGACTGACAGAACGACAAGCAGAAAGACAAGCAATGATCTGGCCCTGAATGCTCAGGCTGAACTGAATATAAACCAGAGGAAACAGGTGAGAGGGATAAATTATAATTGAGGCTGGGAAGGAAGAGGCCAGGTGAGAGGAATTACTAATTAGGGGAGAGCAAACAGGCCAGATCATGACAGAGCCCCCCCCTCAAGGGTGGATTCCAGACGCCCAAAAAAGAACCACGAAAAAAAGTCAACCAAGCAGGGTGGGTAGGGGGGGGTCAAGAGCAGACACAGACCATACAGAAAAAAAAAAAACCCAAACAGAACACGGACTTCTGACATGAGGAGGCACAGACCAAAAACACAGACTAACTAACCTCCAGCATGTCAGAACCGGGCCGAAAAACAAACCCAAAAAGAAAAACCAGTCTTATCCTACTGACTGTCCCCCGATGGGTCCTGTTGTGGCCAGATCATTCTGTCATGAATCGCGGACAGATGGACCCAGTATTCAGGAGAGACAGTCAGTAGGAAAGTTCAAAAGATTTATTAAAATAAAAACAAAGCGGAGCTGTGGCTCGCGGACACTGCAGGCGGGGGGGCGGGGCACCGCCCGATCTCAGACACTCTGGTTTAACAGCTCAGACCACGAATGTCCCAGTGCTGCAGTCCCAGAGGTGATGCTGGAAGCTGATCCTGGTGAGGGATCCAGAACAGACAGGAACAGGCAGGACCCAGATCAGACAGGAACAGAGACAGGTGGCAGGATCCAGACTTCCAGGCATCCACAGGCTTCCAGGAGAGTTCAGAGTCTGACTGGGACCAGAAGCATGACCAGTTGGTCACGCACAGGAGCAGACAGGATCAGGTGCAGAACAGGCAGGCACAGTGAAAGAGGGTAGCCGAGACAGGACGTAGGAACCGGAACTTGAAGCAGGACTTTAAACTGGTCTCCACCCTGGAGCCAGGCTTACTGGATAAAAACTGAACCTCCCCCCATAATGAGCCAAAAACCCAGAGGACTCCGCGGGGGAGGAACAGTGGACGATCAGGAGACGAGACAAACACTAAAACCCTCTTTCCACTGGCAGCTAGGAATCCAGGACATGAACCAAATAAAAACTGAACAGAAAGACTGACAGAACGACAAGCAGAAAGACAAGCAATGATCTGGCCCTGAATGCTCAGGCTGAACTGAATATAAACCAGAGGAAACAGGTGAGAGGGATAAATTATAATTGAGGCTGGGAAGGAAGAGGCCAGGTGAGAGGAATTACTAATTAGGGGAGAGCAAACAGGCCAGATCATGACACAATCAGGAATATTAAGTTGCTATTTTTCCACGTCTCTTTTTCGATTGGTGGTAAAATTAGAATTTTTTTAACAAAATCAATAGCTTCTCTCTGTACGTATGTTATAAATGATCGGCACCTTTCACACAGCTGTAGTTGTGTCAAGACAATCTGCAGCAGCTACTTTCACCTGTCTTTCATGTTAGTCAAGTTATTTTTAAAGGAATGGTTATCATTGATCAGAGAAAACATAATAGAATTTTTATCGCTATGCTGGTTAGAAGGTTTTTTTCTTTGTAATACTTCGGTGGCCAAATCATGCTACATTTTTATCCCAGGTTTTTATTTATATATTTTTATTGAATGAAAAGAAAAAATAAAGAGGAATTCTCCATTGTAAAAAAAATAAATAATAAAAAAACATTCTTTTGCATCCTGGATGACTAGAAAGATGATGTCGCCGTTTCTGAGTGACATTGCTATTAGAATTAATAATAGGCTCTTAGACGCTGTGCCGCTAATCAGTTCAAACTGTATTGAAAAGAAAGACAATGAAATTATTTTTTTTCTATAAACTTCTTTCACATTTAAGATTTATTTGGACTAAATACGTAATCAATAAAAATATTGTCTAATAAAATATCACTATATTTGACAGAATGTATTTTCTTTACTACTAAATACTTCTTGGTGACAAAGAAACTTATAAGCGAGAATCCCATCTTTTCACAATGTGGGACTTTTGATCATTCAGGTAAAGTTAATTCAAAAGGTTAAAAAAAAGTGATGCCTTAGACTTAATTAAATTTAATTCACTTTATCTACATAAATTTACAACACGTCATCTCAAGGCATTTTACAGAGAAAATTTAACCAAATCATCCAATCAGATTGGTTACAAGTTTTCCATCTAAGGAAAAACAGCTGATTGCATCGACTCATTGAGAAGGAAATCCCTCACACCAAGCATGCTTGTAGCGACAGTGGAGAGAAAAAACTCCATTTTAACAGGAAGAAACCTCCAGCAGAACCAGGCTGGGTGTGAGCGGCCAACAGGGGTTCAAGGAGACAGAAGCAGAGATAAAAATTCAAGAAAAAACGTAATAACTGACAAGTTCAACAAAATATTATAAATCACTTTTTTAATTTTAAATGTTTTAGAATATCTTTTCTTTTTCACCAAAGTCTGCTTATGTGTGAAAGTCTCTGGTTAAAAGTGGTCCTATTTATTTAGAAAATAAATGGTTTAAAACAGCCCAAAGTGTATGCTATCATTTCCATATTGACTGCTGTAGATGCTACCCAAAGCAAACCTGAGCAGATTAACCCAAAACCTGAAATTTCATGTCTAACCAACCAGGCTCATGAACCTTTTCTCCAATGCTTAATTGCTCACCAATCCTTTTTAATTAATCAAAAATAGTGTTTAAAGGTTTATGCAATTATCATTAATTTTTAAGTATATCTTTGCTAAACCAGGGCATGGTGAAATTAAATTCAGATTTACAGGCTTAACAGTGATTAATATAATTTAAACCAGACAGCAATCATCTGCACGTTTTAATCCATACAAAATCAAAACATGGCTGCTTTGACTAAATTGTGAGGTCCTTTAAATATGGTGAATTTATGTAGCTACACATGTTTTAAATGTTTGAGTTGAGAGATTAAAGTAACCTTCGTTTTATTGTGTTTCTATAATCTGCCTTATTGTAATGCCTATAGAAAATTACTGCATAAATACAAACCTTTTTTAGCCTTCAATAAGCCATTGTTGGACCTTCAGACTGCCTGACGT